AGTTTTCTAACTAATCTTGCATCGTTGATTATTTAGTCAATGGGGCTATTTCATGTTAAACATTCCTTCAGCACGCAGCACAACAATAACCTACTAATGTGAAGAAATGTAATCAAAGTAAAATAATTTTGTAAACTTCGTGAACATATGTTTAAAAAAACCAAAGCTTAAATATTTCAGCCATTCTACTTCCATTTACTTTGATTTTAACCATCTCCCACGATTCTACTAAATTTCATGCGCTTGGCTAATTTACATACAAATACACAAATTTGCAAATTGCACAGTAAAATTAATTTCAACATTCTAAGACATAACGACAAAAGTCTCAATTGTATGTAACGTCATCCCTGGTTTTATATAGTATACAGTACATTGCAGAATTTACTGGCAAACGAGTTAAATCCAAATGTAATATTGCTTACTGGCTTAATGATAAATCACGATCAGCTGTATTGAGGTAAACAAAAATCAACAGACAAATGGCTTCTAATGCTATTCTTATGGAGAACATTTTACGTTATATCATTGACTAAGTCAAAGGTTATGTCTAATTTTGTGTTAAAATTTGGGGAATTTCACTATTTTTCCGGGATCGAGACCTTTAATTTGAACCCTCTCCCGTCGTTCTACGACTACCCAGTCGCCCACAATTTTGACGCAAAGAATCGGCTTTCGTAATTAATATATAGATAGATATTTAATTTCCACAAAATCAGTTAATGTAACCAATGCGTTTCGTTGAATTGAAAAACAAAGAACACAATTAAATTAAACAGCTGATGTAAACAATATTATGTTCTTCGTAAGGACAACATGGGAACTTAATAAAAAGCCACTGTGGCAGAGGCCAAGGGACTTTTTCAAAAATTTTAGGCCAGTTTGCAAATCTACGCAACACGCTCTTTCCAATGAGACGTCAGTGGATAAAATCGGTTTAGAAATGGTGGAGGATTCAACCGACAAACTTCGTGTTCGCGTATTAATTATATAGATTTCATATGTGCATGAAATGTTGGTGTGAAACCAACTTGTCTATATATATAATTCCGTAAGTCAAATTTTTGTAAAGAAATTGTGAGTGACTGGATGGCCGTAGAAGGATGGGAGGGGTCTTATTTTAAAGGTCTTGACGTGGATTTTGAGGGAAAACTATTCATTTTTCTTATTTTTTTACCATAAATTCGCAACAGAATAAAACTTTTCCCATTAAAACAACATGGGGTTTAATTTGTTTACATCTTTTGAAATTAAAACAGCTGTGCCACAGATTTGAAAACAGTGATCAATACACACATTTGGTTTACTTTTAGCCAGTCAACTATGAAATGTATACTATAATAAAACTGAAATATTGAAGATTAGTCGGAAAAACGTCTGCATTCTTTGTTTATATTTAAATCATATACTCAAGTTTCATTTTTTCATGCTTTTACGTTATTGTCGTGTTAAAGGAATAAACGACATAGAATAAATATTCTGTATAAATAATCAAAGAGTCGAAATTAAATCTAACTTCTGTTTTGTTTTTATTTTTAAATCATATGTTCAAGTTTATTTTAAATGATGTTGTTTTCTTTATATGTCTACACATTTTAAGGTTAAGGTTGTGTAAATATATACAACTAAAATAACCTATAAATGTTATTGGTTCTAAAATGGTGTATTTGCATTCCTTCGTAAGTAAATTTTTTTAGTGCAGTGAATATACAACGTAGAGTAATCTAATCATATTCGATCATACTTTTATAAAATCACCAGGGATTCAAGATGTTTTGGTATGTAGGCTGCTGGATATATATTCTTTTCATTATAAGTACTGTAATTAATATGAACGCCAGGGGAATACCACAAAGGCGGGGAACTGTTCATAGGAATGACAGTGCGCGTAGGAGAGCAAGAGTAGATAATGACGAACTTAATCAAGATATGTTACAACCCCTTTTTAGGAGACCCATGGTAGACGAGAGAAATGTAAAGATCCATGATGCAGGATTACTGGACCAAGAGTGCATTCAATGTAGTGCTCTTCATTTTAGAGAAGAACTAACGAATAATCATTTTCTGACATGTTGCCATAACGGACTTATTAACCTTCCTCAGTCAAAAACTAATGTAGAACTTAAAAGTTTGTTTGAAGAGAGCCCACAACTGTATAAATTCATTCGACAATGCAACAGTGCGATGGTTTTTGCTTATTTTTCAGCCAGTAAGAAAGATATTCCAGGAAAAGGACCATACTGTTTCAAAATTCAAGGACAGATTTATCGTTCAATCTCAGATTTGCTGCCTCAACATGATGAAGACCCCGTGTATGGCCAATTGTACATTATTGACACATCAACAGCAACAGAAATAATTCGTCAAAGGCGTCGAGAAAATAGTGACTTAAAACCTGAAATATTGTCAAAACTAGCTGAAATTCTATTAGAAAATCCATTTGCACAAATTTACAAAAGAGCTTCGGAAGAAATGGTTGTACAAGGTGACAGTGAATTAGAACTTAGGTTTGTAGACAGGATAAATATGGATCGTCGTAGGTATAATAAGCCTACTGCAGATGAAATTGCAGGCGTCTTCAATTCATCTGAAGGCGAACCTCCAATGATTTTTTAAAATTCCAAACAGGGAAGCTTTTATTTATCCTCATTAACCACAAGACCAAAGCTACCTTAGTAAACCAGTATTCATTCACAAACAATGATATGTTTGCTGCATTTTCATGTGAAACCACTGGATTGATTCAAATTATTTATTGAAAATGACATCAACAAAAGCAAACAAAGAAGAACAACAAACTGGTTTTTACACAAAAGATATGGTGTAGGGATGCCTATTCTGACACATAGATAATGTTATTCTGAGTTTGTTTAAATACCGGTATTGCAAAAAGTTGTTTTACATTTGAGCTTTTTAGGGACTTATGTCCCTACAAGCCACTAGTATAACTTTAAGCTAAATGGTTTAAGTTACCTGGCTTAGTCAAGTGATCCTTCTTCAGTATTACACTACTATAGTTTCGGACTTGAAAATAAGTCCATCTTCAGAAAACGTCAATAGGTCATCTAACCAAATTGGTTAGATGACCTATTGACGTTTTTGTTAACCTGAAGATGGACTTCCAGAGGCTACCTCACCATGTATACCTTTGAAGTAGAGGCTAGGGCCTATATTTATTCCCAAAAGGTATCAAACGCCAGCTCCTGATCAAATCTTTTCTATCCCTTTAAAGTTTGTTTCGTGTCTTAGTCTTCACGTACAGAGACTTAAATCTTTGTATTAAATTGTTAGCAATCATAAATCGTGGACAGAATCTTCCACAAAAGATAAATACAATATAGTTTAACACCCTAGAACTCCTTAAAAAAATATATTTTGTTAAGGCTTCGTCATAATGTTAAAAATACTCAATACAACAAATTCATTAATTTTACATATGTAAACGTTGATAGTTGTATGCGTATTGTATTTTAATATATCTTCTGTATACATCTAGTCCTCTATATTTTCTGTGAACACAAATGCTTCTGTATACACTTTTTTTGCAACTCACAGTAACTGAGAAATATTCTAAACTGGTGAACTGTTTTTATAAATTTTTGCCATTATTCCTCAACCCGTGCTTAAAAAAATAGTGACTCGTGGATGAATCCAGATACAAAATTTAATCTAAATCGGACCACAGGTTTTGTCTGTAGCTCTGTATCTGGATCATACAAGTGTGTATTATATAACATGATCAAATCACATAGTCAAAATATGTTTTATTCTATAACTTTTAATTTAATTAAACATAAAAGTCATGCTCCCTCCATTTTTAAAGTATTCAGTCCAAAAATGTAATAAATTTACTTGTGCATACATATTTATTTCGTTTTAATAAATAATTGAGGTGATGCAATACACTTATGTAGGCAGTCGCAGCAGTCGAAGCCGGGCATAGCGCCTTGAGTTTCACGAACGCAAACCGCGCAACGAGTAGCTAAATGAGCCGTAGAGTAAGTGAGCCATCTAATATTTTGAAGAGGGTTCACTTACTCTACGGATCATTGTGCCAATGATCTGTAGTGTAAGTGAGCCATCTAATATTTTTCTGCAGGCTCGTATAGTATACGAGCCTATTCCTATAATTTATATTATTCATTATTTTGGCTCGTATACTATACGAGCCGATTCCTGAATTATCAAATAATTCGTAAGCTTGGCTCATAGTCACTATGATCTGTAGAGTAAGCGAACCTTCCTACTGTATTTTTAAATATAATACACGAGGCTCATAGGCACAATGATCTGTAGAGTAAGTGAACCCTCTTCATTTATTTGATATTTTTGATCGGCTCGTATAGTATACGAGCCTGTAGTGCAAGTGAACCTTCAATATTATTTAAAAAGCTCGTATAGTCTATGATCTGTAGAGTAAGTGAGCTGTCCCCCATTGAACCGATCGGAACCGATCTACACACCATAACCAAAGATAGAAGATAAACTGTAGTAATGAGTGCTTAACCCAATAAACATTGCTGTAAAAAGGAAGAATTTTAAATCATACCCACACAAGCAGTGAGTGAACAAGCCAATTTCTCCAGTTACCTCTGTCCCAATAGTTAAACTAGTCATAATCACAAATTTAATGTATTTAGTTATAAGAGGTTATCATCAAGTAATCACCAACAAATTCATTTAATGTACTCCATGGTACCGAATCAGTTATTTATGAAAGGGCTCATGTCATTTTTTTTTACAAATTGACTTTTGGTCGAAAATCAATAAAACATACATATCTGCATATTTATTTATGAACGGGCTCTTGTCAAACCTGTTGTAATGCACATTGAAGCCAGCTGAAATCTGTAATTGTTTATGAAACGGCTCATGTCAGAGACAGGAGCCCTTTCATGAACAAAGTTAGGTTGGCAGCGCATGCGCATTGGAAGTTTTTTCCTGTCAGCTGAGCTTCTGCTGGGCTTGTTTTTCTTACTTTTCTACTGCACCATTCTATTCTAAGAGAGTTGAGGTTAGAGGTTATGTTTGTTTGGTATTCAAGCTACTTTATACTCGTTTAGCCTACTCAAGTGCTTTTTTTAAAATGTTAGAAAGTGAAAGTCCTGACGACGAAGGCCTAGGTAAAGAAACAAATAAACGAAAAAGAGGTGTACGAAATATTGAAAAATATAAAGTGAATGTTATTAAAAAGGCCAGAATTCGAGGAGATGAATACGTCAACTACAAAGGAAATGTTACAGAAGCACGTACAACTGGAATACCATGCACGTATGTTGAATGTTTATCTATGCTTTACACTAAGTTACCAACATTCCTAACTTAGAAACAAAGTCAAATCACCTTTCAATTTTTATTATGTTGTTTCCTAAGAATTAGGTTATGTCTTTATTTGATTATTTTGTTGGAAAAACTTTAGGCCTACACATTTTTTATTTTCTCTAATACATAGTAGCCTAGAGACCAAAGTTTGTTAAAAATGTAGTCACCAATTCATCTCTAAACCGAAAAGACCTTAAGACGTTAAGGCCTGATACATTCTAATTTTTTTAGGTGCAGAATGAAATGTTTTGAACGTATAACTGAAGAGGATCAATTAGATATTCTAAATAGAGGAGGAAGCTTTCAAAACAAAGATGAACAAGATTTATTTTATCAGTCATTAATAGAAGCCCATCCTGTTAAAACTAGAAGATCAAGAGTTACTACACAAACTGAAGAAGAACCTAAGCCTAAGCATTCTGTTGCACATGAAAGTTCTTTTACCTTTCATGTACTGGTTGGTGAAAAAAGAACTAAAGTTTGCAAAAAGGCTTTTTTGAGTTTGTATGGAATAGGCGATAAAAAGGTTAGAAGACTTAAAAATTTACTTTTAAAAGGTAAGTCGCCTAGAGACTTAAGAGGACAGCAGATGAATAGGAAAACGTTTCCTAAAGATTATACGGATCAAATAAAAAAGCACATTGAGTCCTTCCCTTTAAAAATAAGTCACTACTCATCTAAGGAAATTAAGTACTTAGATGCCAACCTTGATATCAAGAAAATGTACAATCTGTTCTTAGACAAATTTGAGGGAAGCGATGTAGTTTATAGCTACTATTATAAAGTATTTAAAGAGCATTTTAACTATCGGTTTGGAAGGCCCCAGATTGACACATGCTGTGAGTGTGAAATGCTTAATACTCGCATTAAAAACCCTCAACTAAATGAGACTGCTAAACGAGTAGCTGAAACACAGCTATTAGTTCACAAGAAGCGTAGTAACAAATTTTATAAATCAATTAGTGAGACCAAAGATTACTGCGCCTCACACAAAAACGCTTTACTTTTATGTTTTGACTACTGTGCTAACATATCTTTGCCAACCCTTCCAGTTCAGGACGTGTATTACCTCAGACAGTTGTCAGTTTACCCATTCGCTATTCACAATAGCAATAATGACTCAGCAACTTTTTACCTATACCATCAAGGTGTTGCTGCTAAAGGTTGCAATGAAGTTTGCTCTTTCATACAAAAATACATTAATGACAATGTACCTGCAAATGTTGATGAATTGTACCTATACAGTGATAACTGCACAGGTCAAAACAAAAACCACACCATGATCAGGTTTTTGCAATATCTCATAGACAGTGGAAGATTTTAAAAAATTGTGTATCGACTTCCAATAAGAGGACACTCGTACCTGCCATGTGATAGGGTATTCGGCGTTGTAAAAAGAAAATTAAGAAGATGCGATCGCTACTATACCGTAAAAGAGGTAACGGAAATGATAATAAGTGCTTCAGTACAAGGGAAGTTTACGGTGGACTTGGTAGACAAAGATGACATTTTGGATTTCCAAAAGTGGTGGCCCAACTTTTATAAAAAAGCACTTTCTCAGAGGAAACCAAAACTGAAAAGAGGGGGAAAAGGGAGTATTTTACCATAACTTCTTATCATGAGTTTTCTTTTCACCATTCCAAGAAAGGTCAAGTGGTTGTTTCGGATTTTATTGGTGGATTTCCTTCAAAGACCTTTAATCTTGCTAACCAATCAAATCAACAGGTTGAAATTTCACCTCCCACTGACATTCTGTATAAAGAAAAAGTTCCTATACCAAAGAAGAAAATGGATGACATCAAGAAGCTTGTCCAATACGTTCCTCAAGAACACCTAGCCTTTTACCATGAGCTTGTTTGTTGGCCAACAATTGAGAAAGACAGTTAAATAAGACTTTTTCTAACTCGATTCTATTTTAACTCATTATGAAATGTAATAATGTGTGTTTTTTTTACCAAAAATAAATTTGTATTTTAGTCACGCTTGAAAATAAAAAATGGGTTTTATGTTTTCAAACCTTTTTTTATGAAAGGGCTCATGTCAGTAGTTTTTAAAAATTTGTATAAAAATTAAATATAACATTAAAGTTACAAAAACCAAATTCTAATATTTTAAAGGATTAATATATCTAAAATAGCAAAAAAAACTGAAACTAAGTATTGTAACTTAGCAACCAAACAGTTTTTCTTGATTTCCCAAAAATTTGGTTTCAATGACAACAGCCCTTTCATAAATAACTGATTCCTATAAGAATCATACATCTCTTATATGTCTCATGTTCATTTCATATTTCAACATTTGTTCATCACTCCATTCATTTATTATATAAAAAAATTGTTTTAACCACTTTAATTAATTTTATGTTTTTAATGTTTGTAGAAGATAGGAGGGGATAATAATCATTTTGTTATTTTAGAATTATTTTATTGTTATATTCATTCCAACTGAAATTTGTTCTAGTTACAACCTTAATGTTAAGTTTGTTAGATTTTTGTTTCAACTCAATTTCAACTCAATATTTGTTATTTACTGTTATAAAATTAAATGTATTTTTCGTCATTTAGCGAAAACATGTCATTAAAAATTTAATTACATATTTTCTGAGGGGATATTGTAATGACTCAAAATTCAATGTTTGTAAATATAGTCCTTATTTAAATTCCAAACTCAATTTTGTTATATTTTCAATATTTTTTGATGTCCATTGTTAATATTATTAAAACCATATTGTCTCAACATATATATATTTTATAATCAAAATTTATTCATTGGCTTATTCAAAAATTATTATTAAAAAACAAATCCTCCAATCAGAACACCATCCATCTGGGTTCAAGATTATTAATAAAATTCAACCATGTTTTTATTTATGTGAACCCCATAACTTGATATGATTTACAACAATGAAAAGGAGTGTGCAGTTTAAAAGCATCCATAAAGAACATAAAAGTTTAAACTCTTAATTGTGAAAATAATTGTCATATTATAAAAGAAAGTAGTGTCAAAATTTCCAAATTTTACTGAAGAAAGAAGAATTTAAGCCTATTACTAAGAAGAAAATTATTATTACAGAAGATTGGTGAGAACATTCCATTTTTATTAAGTTATTGACTCAGACTAGACTCTTCAAGCATCCATTTGGACCCAATTTACCTCTCTTAATTAAAATCAAAATCCTTCCTATTTAACTCATTGTTTCTAAAAGATTATTTAATTCATAACTTACCATAACTTACTTATTGAAAATTTAAATTTGAAATCTTTTGATTCGGCCAGCACGAATCCCCACCCCTGAACAATTTTTGTAACCCTATTTTAACCATTTAACTTATGTACCATTAAACCTTGTATTTTAAAATCTCTGTCCTTGTAATTATTATTGTTTAACTAAGATAAGATTAGAATACAAACCATATTTAGGGTTTATTTCAAAGATCAAAACACTCCAGTGTGATCCACTTCCTTCTTTACTTACTTCCTCAGAGTCATTTATTGGCATGATAGTTATCTTTCTTTCTGTAACTTTTAGAGGATCTAAAAAAGTGTGAAAGTCTTGGCTATTCTTTATCGCATGCACTATCAACGGGTTTACTATAATACATGAGTTTGGAATTAGGAATTTATTACTTAGCATTTTAAAGTATGGTTGGAGAGACAGATCTGAGAGCCAGTTGGTGCCTAATAACTCTGTCATAATCATTGTTGTATTTAGCAATAGACTGTCAGTTTGGGCTCCCTTCGATTCGCTATTTTTTATACTCTCTTGCACATGTGAAACAAGATCATCGGTTGAAGTTGCATATTCAGACGTATCAGGTACACACTGTACAGGAAAATCTGTCATATCTGGTACTATTTTTTTCGGAAGATAGTCTGGGACGGGAAAAATCTCATCTGTGTATTTCATCAGACGAGTATCCGACTCAATGGAGTGATCAAGCACACATTTTAATTGCTCTTTTAAAGTTCCATTTTGTTTAACTAAATGCATGTTTTTCCTTGTAATTCCAAAACTGTAGGGGATGCTAATTCTTGTGATTTATCAGTAATATCCAGGGGGGACTCAGATGGTGTAATGAATAACTGAGGAGTGATGTCTCAAAGAAATTCTTTTCATTAGATACTATACAGGCAGAGGACTCCTGGGTAGAAGAGGTTTTTGGAGATAACAGTGATCTCATAGTGACAGGATGAGGCCCAAAGTGTTTAATGTTAGATGCAATAATTGCTGACTTAGCTGAGTCAGTTTTTATTACTGCATTACAGTTTCTACCAAGGCAACGCCATGTCAAATCACCATTTTTTGCCACATAATTTTGTCTAGATATTTATAATTGTTAAAAATAAGATTATCCTTTCCACTTTTTGTTTCCTGAATTTTAAACTCCATCTTTGTAGTCAAGATAATGTTTTTCTATACAACAAGAATATAAGTTGTAAACAAAACATGCATTGGTTAAAATAAAAGTATGACAGGTATGAAAATATATAATGAAGATAATGATGAATGAATGATCATGATAATGATAATGAATCTCTTCAATGTGTAAACAGATAAAATATTATATTCTTCACAAATATGATCTCAACAGGTGTAATATCTGGGTTTGTTGCTCCAAAGGTCAGGTCTTGGTGATAAGCTGGTCAGATGTATCAGGTGGGCAGGGGGTGGGGTGGGGATCCAAACAGGAAAATACTGTTTGAGTCAAGTAGTCTGTAAGTTGTTTCCTGTTTATCTTGATGTGATTAAGTTCTTTACTTTGTAATAGCCATTTTTATTCATTTTAAAACAGTGGTCAATTTGTAAAATTATTGATAACTGGTAAATAATAATGAAAGTTAAATGATTGAGCTCCCAGTGTCCTTTTCAACAATATGTTTGGTTGGTGTTTAAAACATGTGCTATATTGGCTAGGAGAAGTGTGAGTATTTTTATAAGTCCTTTTAGTTGTACAATTTTAAAAGCTTTTTGAAATTTTATAACTTCACTTGGATAAAGATACTTTACCTATAATTTAAAACTGTAGTTTAGTCACACACTTTTAAAATACACTGTAAAACTCAAATATAATGGCTCATAAATAATCACAACCATATTGTTTTGAAACTGCAGACGACACATTAAACATATGTCAGCTGATAATTAATTAGGTGACAACTAAATTATATTTAACATTTTAAGTATCTGGTCACATCACCGGTGGGGCATACGGGAGGGACTGTGGCTAAAGGTGTGGTGACGTCATATCTCTAGTGGCTAATCTCTTCCTTGAGGGAACACCATTACCGTAACGAGACAATGTGGAATGTGATTCCAGCGGCGTTCGTAGCGTAGGTAGTTGATAGCGTCTCGGACTGGTGTTCAGGAGGTCTCCAGTTCGAATCCAGCCGGGGACATGTACTTTTTGTCAAAGATTTTGCTTAGAATGTGAATACTTCTTAACTGTACATCTTTTGTTAGAATTTGAGGCATTTATAATTTTATTTATGAACAGAACAATTTTTTGTAAATAGTTAACCTACATTTGATTTGTATGTTATATCTTTTTCATATTATCGGCAAGTTTGGTTGGTTAGGTTAGGTTATGACAGTTTAATTTTATAATACTAAATTTTAAAATTAATTTTATAATACAAAATTATAAGTTAACCTTCATTTATTTTTATCTTATATATTTTTTATATTATCAGCAGGTTTGGTTGGTTAGGTTAGGTTATGACGGTTTAATTTTATAATTAAAAATTTTTAAATTAATTTTACAATCAATAAGTTAATTTTATAACTAAATTATTATAAAATTAATTTAAATTTTTTTAACTTAGTGGTTCTAGCGGCGAACGCTGGCACTACAAGATATGACGTCACCACACCTTTATCCATAGTCCCTCCCATATGCCCCACCAGTCACATCACTACAGAATTAAATGAATTTTTCACCACACTATGGTATTTTTGGCTGTATTACATACGTTAATTGGTGGCTGAAAGTTACGTTTTGCTGGCCATGCCAGCTGTCATCGTAATTTGGGGACCGAGCAGGTTTTTACAGGCCGGGGCCGCAAAATCAGCTGTCCGCTTACTTACTTAAAACATTTTTTTTTTTTTAACTTTATTTAATTTACAATCTGTTCAAGTTGAACAATAAGCAAATGATATAAATAGTAATACAAAAATAACTTGAAAAACATGAGCTAGTGATTGACCACCGTCAACACTAGCTAACAAAGAGAATTTTGATAACACTTAGCCGAATCTGAATGGTAGGTCCAATATCGTATGTCGCTCCAGTCTGTAAATGGTGTTGTGATTGTCCAATAAATTAAGTGCAAGATAATTTGAATGATTTTCCAATTTTATGATGTATTTTTCACTAGATTTTGTAATTTCTTCTTTTACTGTTCGAATTTGAAGATCATTGTGAAGTGTTCTGTTGGTAACAAACCAAGGAGCGTTGACAATTTTACGTAATAATTTTGATTGTTAACGTTGAATAATTTCAATGTTTGAGGTACTTGCTGATCCCCAAAGCTGAATACCATAAGTCCAAATTGGTTTTAGAACTGTTTTGTACAGTAACAATTTATTTTGTGTACTGAGTTGTGATTTAGATCCAAGAAGCCAATTAAGTTTAGTTGTTTTTAAATTTAGATGTTGTCTTTTAGTCCAGATATGTGCCTTCCAATTAAGCTTTGCATCTAAGTGCATGCCCAAGTATTTTATTTCTGTTACTTGAGGGAGGTGAATATTGTTCATGGATACTGGAGGACATGTAGCCTGATTTAAGGTAAAAGTAATGTGTGCTGATTTATTTTCATTAATTTTGAACCTCCATGTTTTAAACCAATGAGAAATTTCATCTAAGTTTAGCTGTAAATTTGCTGTAGCTTGAGCTGGATTGTCGTGGACAGATAAAATCGCCGTGTCATCCGCAAATGTAGCAACCATAGTGTTTACACTTTCTGGTAGGTCCGATGTATAGAGAATATACAAGTATGGTCCAAGCACGCTTCCTTGGGGGATTCCTGATTCTATAGGGTAAAGGTCAGTTAAGTAATTTTGATGTTTAATTTGGAAAGTTCTGTTGGTAAGATATGATTTTAAAATAGGAAAAACTGAATGGTGTAGTAATTTCTTAATTTTGAATAGTAAGCCAGAGTGCCATACTTTGTCAAACGCCTGACTGACATCAAGGAAAGCAGCAGAACAAAATTGTTTGTTTTCCAAACAGTTTCGAATTGTATGAACAACCCTATGGACCTGTTCCACGGTGCCATGTCTCCGTCTAAACCCGAATTGGTGTCCTGGAATGACGTCGTCTTCTTCAAAAAGAGCTTGTAGTCTTTTGAGGAACAATTTCTCAAACAACTTAGACACTATAGGCAAGAGACTTATAGGTCTGTAGGAAGTGATTTCATGAGGAGGTTTTCCTGGTTTTGGTATGACAATTAATTGGGCTTTCTTAAATTGAGTTGGTATGTGGTCTAATCTCAATATAGAATTAAAGAGAAATGCAATAAAAATAATTCCTTTTCTTGGCAGTTCTTTTAACATTTTCCCAGTGATAGAATCGTAACCAGGAGATTTTTTCGGATTTAGCGATTTGTCAATGGTTGCCTTAATTTCTGTAGGTCTGAATTTTTCCAGAGGAAAGTCAAGTTGAAGTGGAGAGTCCAAGAATTCAATTATTTCTTCTTCATTATTGACCACACCTACATTTGGCTTGAATACATTGGAAAAGTAATCCCCGAAAGCTTCAGATTTTTCTATGTCACTCTTAGCCCAGCTTCCATCCGGTTTACGAATTGGCGGGATTGAAATTTGGGGTTGCTTCAGCCTTTTTGTGACTTTCCATAACGAGTAATCCGTAGCTTCCGTAGCCGACAAAGATTGATTATATTCTTCAAACCATCGGTTTTTTGTGTCGTACAATAATCTTTTCAAATTCCGTGCTGCTCGGTTAAAGTTGGCTTTATCATTCGGGTTTCTTGAGTTTTGCCAAATTCTTCTGAGTCGTCTCTTTTCTGTTATCTTTTTCTTGATATGAATTGGGTAGCCTAGGCCTATTTTCTCTGATTTTTCATGATTAGGTAGAGGTGTGGATTCTTTGGCAGAATTTTGAATACAGTCAACAAAGTGATCAACAGCAGCTTCTACATTTTCAGGACTACGTAGCTGTATGTGTAAATTCAAGTTTTGATTTATAAAATTTCGAAATTGATTCCAGTCCGTGTATTTATTGAAAAATACGTCCCCTGGTTCTTTGTGAAATATTTCGGTACTTAAATTTAACATAACTGGTGAATGGTCAGAAGATAGATCAAGACAAGATTTTACTTCAGTGTAATTTTGGTTAATACCTTTTGAAATAAAAAAGTCTAACAGATCAGGGATTTTTCGCATATCAGTGGGCCAGTAGGTAGGTTCACCAGTTGAAAAATGGGTGCACTGATTGTCATTCATTAATCTTAAAAGCTGTCTGCCTCTGGGTGTAGCTAAACGTGACCCCCATTATTGATGCTTTGCATTAAGATCACCCCCTGCAATAAATCTATTACCAAGAGTGTTGAAATACTGTTCAAATTGATTGTAAGTTATAACATGCCTTGGAGGGCAGTACACAGCTGAAATTGTAATAGGACCAAGCCAATCTTCTAAAACAATGGTGGAAGCTCGAAGATAATTTTCCTTAAAACATGGTAGTTCATAGTGTTTAATCGTGTCCCGAACTAGGATTGCAGTTCCTCCATGTGCAGTGTTGTCAGGATGATTAGTGTAGTACAATTTGTAACATGGAATTTTGAAATAGGTTCTATCCGTAAAATGAGTTTCCGAAATAAGCAATACATCTAATTTGTGTTGGGTAATGAATAATTGAACCTCTTGGCTATGCTGAGCCAAGCCATTAGCATTCCATAATGCCACTTTAAGGAGAATATTCATTTTAGGCGGGCAATAACAGTAGTAAGAAGATTAAGTAAGGTATTAATCTGTTCTGCTTGTTTAGATAATATGCTCTCAAAGCGTGAGAAACAATTTTTTATAGTCTCGGACAGATTGTGAGATTCTGTGGTTTGTTCCCTAATATGATGATTACTGGTGTGGCCAACTTCACTACCATTCCGCGCAGTTTCAGCAAATGTTACCCCTTCTTTTACTAATGCACTTTTAGGCAAGGTATTACTGGTATTAGAATTGTCTTGTGTAAGACTCTGAAGACCCAGATTGCTTTGATTATTACCAAGAGTCTTTTTTCTGAGAGGGGGGAACTGCTTATTTTGTATATCTCTATAAACAGGGCAACCTTTGTAATTTGCAGAGTGCTTTCCTGAGCATAACACACAAGACGGGGGTACATCAGGTGGTTTAGGACAGTCTTTGGTATCATGTTCCTGTGTGCATTTAACACAACGATACTTGTTGTGACAGTAAGATTTACTACTGCTGGCAGCGTTTACACACAATCAAAATACATAGCATTGCAAAAGAATTGTGTTATTGTCACCGTTGCCTAGCAACTATTTATTTTTATTTTTGCTGATTCCTCAAATTATTTCTTCACATAACCCTAAAGTTGTAGTTGTGTTGACTATCAGTGTGCATTATTATAGTGGTGAATAGTGGTAATAGGGTATAGTGTGGTGAAAAATAGCGTTCGTACCACGGACCGAAATGGTTTTGCGACGTCTCGAACTTAAAAACTATCTCGAGCCAGCAAAACCTCATTTTTGGCCCTAGGTACGAAATATACTATTACACAAGGGTTAATCAAAATGTTAAGTTGTTTTATCCAAGCTAAAACAGCGTTTGCCGTTCTTCCATAGAGAATAAATGTTGGGGATGGCGAGAATTCTCTCCCTCTCTCAAGCCTGACCGTGCTTGCTACTCATATATCTCAATATACAGGGTGTCACAAAAAAGTGTGATGGGCTATACAGGACCTAATTCTACATGCAAAAATAAGTCAAAAATGAAGAATAAAATTTTTTGGATTTCGGCTTAGTTTAGCCGTAATCCGCCATTTTGTTTTTTGGGGAAAATATTTATTATTTCAAAATCCCTTTGAGATATTTTTACGAAACTTGGCAAAACTGTTTACACTATAGTAAGTAACATTTATAAAAAAAAATATTATTTCAACTTTTCAAATTTCAAAATGGCGGCTGTTTAAATTTTTTAATGCCAAATTTCATGAAAACCGGTACATAAATTAAAATTTTGTAAGACACAAAAGCTATAGTATTTATTATGACAAATCCAACAAAACAAAAATGAATAAAATCGGTTCATAAATAAAGAAGCTGTGTTTATTTTAGTAATTTAGACTGAAATTACTTAATACGTTACATAAATTATTACATTACATTTAATACATTTTAATATTAATAATTTCAGTCTAAATTACTAAATTAAACACAGCTTCTTTATTTATGAACCGATTTTATTCATTTTTGTTTTGTTGGATTAGTTATAATAAATACTAAAACTTTTGTGTCTTACAAAATTTTAATTTAGGTACCGGTTTTCATGAAATTTGGCATTAAAAAATTCAAACGGCCGCCATTTTGAAATTTGTAAAGTTAAAATAATATTTTTTTTATAAATGTTACTTACTATAGTGTAAACAATTTTGCCAAGTTTCGTAAAAATATCTCAAAGGGATTTTAAAATAATAAATATTTTCCCCAAAAAACAAAATGGCGGATTACGGCTAAACTAAGCTGAAATCCAAAAAAATGTATTCTTCATTTTTGACTTATTTTTGCATGTAGAATTAGGTCCTGTATAGCCCATCACACTTTTTTGTGACACCCTGTATATAGAGATCTATGTTTCTACTCCGTAGGCCAGTATGAGGTCATGATGATATGGACAGTATTGCCTAACTTTTTAAAAGAAATAAAACACTATTATTCTTTATGTATTACATTTGCGTTATTGTTTACCAATATAAAAAATCTCTTCTCCAGGGGAGAAGAAACTTTGAAGGCCACTGGGGCAGAGCCCTGATGGAATTTCAAAGATTTTTTGTTTGATGGCAAATCTACAGGCCATGACACCTATCCAATGACACCTTAAATATTGTTATCGGATACGTGGCTGCTTCAAAACAATTATCACAAAATTCATGTTGGCCTATTAAACATATAGATAAAATAAAAGGCAATGAAAACTTCTCAATTTCAAACTTCTTGATCACTTAGGCCTAATTAATCCCAAGTTTCCACTTTTTTCTGGGAAAATGTAAAAAACACAAACTATATTAAATAATATATTTATTTATTTTACATAAGCTATTTTCATGTTTCAAAGCGTACAATGGATTTGAATATCACAATAAGAATTGAAAAATAAATATCAAACAATCTTGGCTAGAAGCACAGCTCGGCGATCTGATATCTGGAAAAGGGCTCGCACAAGATGGCGAACCTGATCAGCTGTGAATTCCTGGGCTAGAGGTCCCTGAAATAGAGATTTAGTTGAATGTATAGTGTCATAGAGTGAGGTAGGTACTATAGCCCAGTCAATTATGAGAAAAATATGGCAGATGTCAGGGCAAATTAGCCACTGGCAAGACTGTATACCAATTCTTAGTACCCAACTAAATACACACTTTCCCAAAAGTCCCTAAAAATATCCCCAGTGCGTTCCCCCCACCCCCCTCAAAGCTAGGAATTTCAAGGTTTTACTAAATCACACTTATATCCAAAATGGTTTGGTTGATTACCATACTTTTTAATTCGTTGTGTTCTTTATTAAATATTCTAAAATAAAGTCCCTTTGCACTTTTGCGATAATTTCTAATTTCTTCACAATTTAATGATAAACATGAGGAATCACAATAAATATGTCAACTGCAAACCCTTTTTGTATAAATAAATGTATTATGTTATCCGCTATAAACCTTTAAGATATTTACCTTATACCTTTAAGATGTTCAACTTACTCCCTATGGGTGGTCCCGGAGGAGGAGGAGGTGAGGAGTAGGAGGAGGAGGTGGAAGGAGGAGGTGGAAGGAGTAGGAGGAGGAAGGGGAGGAGGAGAGAGAGGAGGAGGAGGAATATAAGGAGGAGAAGGAGGAGGAAAAGGAGGAGAGAGATGGAGGAGGAAGAGGATTCTTAATTAAATAATAAACTAGGGGAATCACAGTAAATATGTCAACTGCAAACCTTTTTTGTATAAATAAATGTATTATGTTATCCGCTATAAACCTTTAAGATATTTACCTTATACCTTTAAGATGTTCAACTTACTCCCTATGGGCAGTTCCGGAGGAGGAGGAGGTGAGGAGGAGGAGGAGGAGGTGGAAGGAGTAGGAGGAGGAAGGGGAGGAGGAGAGAGAGGAGGAGGAAGAGGAGGGAAAAGGAGCAAAAAACAATGATGCAGAAACTCAACAGCCAACATCCAAACCTCACTTTTACCAATTTATTCAAAGAAAATGTTCCTAGACCTATCAATAGAAAGATAAGACAAGATAGACTTTAAATTCTACAAATTTTAGAAGTAGTGTTTTTCATTTTTTCTGCGATTAAAAAAACTACAGCAGAAAAACTAAAAAAAACATATTGACAAAAAGATTTGCTCAATTTCATAATTTATCAATAAATAAAAATTGTAAAGAAACCGTTGAAATTATCGCAAAAGTGTAACAAACTTTTTTTAGACAATTTAATAAGGAACACTAACGAATGAAAGCATATGGCATTCGACCAAACCATTTTGAATACCAAGTGTGATTTAGTAAAATTTTGCAATTCCTAGCTTTGAGGGGGGGGGGGGGTAAGGGAAAGCACCGGGGGGATTATTAGGGACTTTTACTAAAGTATATATCTAGTTGGGTACTAACGATTGGTATTTTATTATAGTCTTGCTTTTTACCTGTTGCTAATTTGTTCCGGCACAAAACCTTTATTGACTACTAGGTCAACTATGAGTTAATTGCTAATAAGTAATAACCAGGGCCGTCGCGTGGGTGGGGTAGCGAGCTGATCTAGTGATAGAGGACATAAATTCCCGAGGACCCAGGTTCAAATTCTGCCAAATCACCAATGGATTTGATCTAAATGATAATGCCGCAACTCCTAGGTCTAGCTTGAAGCAATGTGAAAAAAGATCCCGGGCTAGCCTTGCATCCTAGGGGTTTAACCCATGGTATCTCCAGGCATATTTTATAATTTTTATTCTCAATGGAGATTTTCCAATTAAAAACCCCATAAAATAACAAAAATTCAGATTAGGAAAAAACAGGCCAAAAAATCTTTATTAAAATTTAGTATGTTATTAGCCCTTTTATTAGCCCTAAATAAAATGGTACAACTCCCATTGCTGTAAAAATTACGTTTCAAAATTTATTGCAGCTATTGTGATTTTCCTCTGAAAATATCATAGTTCATGGTAGTTACTCATACCGTTTACCCATTATACAGGTTGTTGTCAAGCTAATGGGAGAAATTATGTGTCAGATTTTTGTAATACAGTTTATTTTTAAAAAACATTAGGGAATCGTCTTCTAAACTTAAGACAGCCTGGTACAAATACTATTTATGTGAATCCCAGGAAAGCTGGGTGTCTTCCGTAATACCTAAAACTTAACAACAGAATCTACAACTACATCTGAATGAAAATCAAACTGTTATGATATTAATTATAGAGCAATTGCACTTTGATAGTTTATTTTTAATACAATTGTAATCAGAAACTACAAAGTCGAATTTGTTAACAATACTAATGTTGTCTTCTACCAAACTTTTAACTACATTTAGCATTTTGCAACCAAGATGTTGGAATTGTTAGTCAAGTGTTGTATATTAATTTCTAGTTTACTTACAATCGTCTGCAAACACATATGGCATCTGTTGCACATCCACATTACCTTTTTATCTAGGTATACACTGTAATGTGTTATACATTGTTCAAGTATTATTATTTATCTAATGGAGTTTGAAATAAAATTTACTTGTAAAATCAGTGTTATGGTGATCTGGTTGCTCCATGTGTGTAAATGGTGTTACTAACGATAATAATGACACAGCAAATTTTAGCAATTTAAAACCCAAAACTGCCAAGAATCTTAAATTTTGAAACTTTGGAATCTAGAAATTCCCAGATCGAATCTCGAAACCAAAACTTTTCTTAAGTTTTGATGGTTTTGAGATTTGGTTCCGACGCATTATTTTGGTGCAAATACCATAGCTACCTTGCCATCAGCCCAGCGCTCGTCTACATCACGTAGGCTGGCACCAAGCACCAACTGTAGCTCACAGAACTTGCTCCATTTCTTGACATGGCGGTGGATCTCTAGGGGTTCCTGTAAGACAATTATGCAACTGTGGTAGTGTTGGATTAAATTCAGAGTTGGATGATACAGCAACCGATATTATGATAGTGCAATTCAACGAAGAATAATGTGTTTGAAGCCTAAGAAACATATTACTGTGAGCTACAGCTAAGGATGTTAAAAGGGTCAACTAGTCATATGAATCAACTGTGTTGTATAAAGGCATTGTGAATCTAAGTAGATTTGTAACTGTCTGGTTTGATTTGCAAATTTTTAACAATGATATTCTTAGCTCATATATTTTTGCCATAAAAGTAGGTAATCAGAAAGAAGAATTTGAGAGTTAACTGAATTGATAGCCAACAGAGAAGGGGGTTAAACATAATTTAAAAGGTAAACTAGTTATTCATAAGGAGTAAATAACTCAAGGTTTTCCAGCAGTGCATTTATACAGTCGAAACTAAACACCACCGCTGCAGCAAGCAGACTAAGCGTCAAGCAAATTTCCATTTGCTTGAGTGAATTTTTACATAAATATTTCCTAAAACAAACAAGTCAGATTTAATATAATATTATAATTTTGTAACATTAGGTTTGTACTTAGGTTAAAATTTATAGTACTTAGGTTTGCTGCTAGAGGGAAGAAAAAAATGGTTTTGTCAAATGTTAATAGTCTAGTATGAAATCAATAAAATTACAAAATTTGATCAAAATATATCTATAAGCCTGCAAACCACAACAGGTCTTAGTAGTACAGTACGTTGACTTTCACCACAGCAAAGAATTTTAAAGACAGTAAAAAAGTTGTGCAACTTTATGCCATCCTAATGATAGATAATTGATTAAAAGCCCCTTTTGGGGTTATGTAACATTTTATTATAGTTTAAAATAATTTAAAATAGCTTAAAAATAACTTGCAAAGCGGATGGAGACTGTTGCATTGTTGTGGCAGACTTTAGCCACATGCCTCGGCATGCACTAAAACTAACCTCCAGCGGTCACGTATAGCTACCTGCCATATCTCAGTTAATATTCGTCTATTCTAAAATAAGTAAGGTGTCAATCGATTTGTAATTTAATTGCCTTAAAAAAGTTATTCTTGTAAATTTTTTGTAAAATGAAGGGTTTTTGAGTTATTTAAGAAACAAAATTTTAAATGGCCAACATTTTGTTTTATGAATTAAAAAAATTGTCATAATATTGTTGTAGCTTTGTCTAGTTGTCATAAATGTTTGTGAAAAGTTTCAATTTCAAATCAACCACTTTTTAGAAAACAATTAATAAGTAAAAAAATGGTTAATTTAAAATTATTTACAACATTGTAGGGTTGAGGGGAACTGGTGTAGTTTTTTTCAGGAATTCGGCTTCTGTGTAAAATGGTCTGTCCTGTAGCCATGATGTCAACTTGTTCTTGAAGTGTGGCAGTGGTAGTGTCTTGAGCTGCTCAGGTAGATGATTGTGTAATACAAAGCTCCTTTGTACGCTGGTTTCCTTTTAAATAGGCTGAGATGATGTGGTGGCAAGGCAAAGTTTGAGGCATGCCTTGTGTTGAATTGGTGCATAGACTAACCAACACAAGTAGACTTCTCATCCCATTGTAAATTTTGAAGCACGTTTTTCGTGTCTAGTTCATGTACGTGACACAAAGGCGCTAGTGTCGAAGAAACTTTGTTTCTATTATTTTAGGGTTAATTTCTTGATTTGTGCTTTACTGTTTGGTTATATAACTAGGGGACAAGTTATTGTTTATGATTAGATCGTATTATTTGGTTAAACGAGGTTTTAAATGGCTGTAATAACGGGAAACAAATTGTAAACAAAACACAACCTCTACAGAAAACCGTACAGAACTAACAATAAAATTGGCTTCAGCTGTTCCATAAGGATGGGAAATCTACTAAGGGAGTATCTTTTATCTATGATTGGTGTATGTCCTGGTGTCTTGTTTGTTGTTAGCTTATTGCATGCAGGATTGTTTCACGTATGTATAGTGATATTACAGTGAGGATTTTGAATTGTTTGAAGTGTTCTCGGCAGCTTTCCTGATATTGTATGCCTGCCAGGCATCTGATCGCTCTTTTCTGTTGTTTGAGGACCCTTTATATGTTTGTGTTCGCTGTTCCTCCCCATTTAGTTATGGCATACCTCAGGTGTGATTCAAAAAGGGCAAAGTAAGCTACTTTAGCCACATCCAGACCACTTATTTGCTTCATTCTGCGAATCACGTAGATGCCTGAAGAAAGCTTCATGCAAAGTTGATCTACATGTGGTTTCCAAGATAGTTTTGAATCAATCATAACACCTAGGTGCTTCGTTGTTTCTTTTAATTCTACTTGAGGCAGTAGTATTAGTTGTGTGTTCTTGTTTTTGGTCGCGAAAGCCATTTGTACTGTTTTTGTTTAAGTTAGGACTAGACAATTTTCTGAGCAGTATTGTTTAGTTTGGTTGAAATAGGTGGTTGTGTTTCTTTCTAGCATTACTGCTTGTTTATCAGTAATTGTGAGGACTGTATCGTCTGCATACATGACTGTATGACAGTCGCTTTGAAGCCAGTCTGGCATGTCATTTGTGTGAAGGAGGAATAATACTGGGCCGAGCACAGAGCCTTGAGGCACCCCTCTTATTACATTAGCAGTTTTTGAGTGGACATTTTGAGTGGTGTTGTTGTTGGTGTAGTTGATCTCAACAAGTTGTTTTCTATCTTTTAGATAGCTTTCTAACCAACCTGCTTCTTTTCCTGTTATGCCCAAGGTTCTTAGTTTTTGGAGTAGCTGGGCATGGTTTAGGCAGTCAAACGCCTTGCTGAAGTCTAAAAATAGACTAGTGACCATGCAGCCCTCTTCCAGCTTGTCTATTATATGTTCTACAAGTTGTATCAGGGCTGTTGCTGTTGATCTCTTTCAAAAATCCATGCTGTTGGTTTGTAAGAAGGTTGTGGTGTTCAAGGTGGGTCAGTAGTCTCTGAAGAACAATTTTTTCTATTATTTTTGAGAATGCGGGAATGAGTGAGATTGGTCTGTAGCTTCCAGACTCAGTTTCTGCTCCTTTTTTATATAAGCGTCTAGACAGCCAGTGCAACTCCGAGGATCGTGGATCAGATCAGAAAACCCCCCACCACCGCTCCGTGCCGATGGCGTGACGTCAACCATTAACGCAACAATACGGAGTTGAGTCATGAGCCTTGGTGGTGTAGTGGCTAGCGTGTCGGGCTGATAATCTGAAGGTGCTAGGTTCGAATCCCACCGGTGACACTAACTTTTTGTCAACAATTTTTTCATATCAGCAAGTTTGGTTGGTTTGGTTAGATTATGACAGTTTAATTTTATAATTAAAGAATTATAAAATTGAATTTGAGATATTCATAATTTTATTTTTAGAACAGAACTATTTTTTCGATTAGTAAGCCTTCATTCGAGTTTTTCATTATAAGCAAGTTTGGTTAGGTTATGACAGTTTAATTATATTTAATTTAAATTTAACCTACAAACGATACGTTTTGACAGCGACAGTGATAGAGATAATAATTTTCCGCGAACAGTTAGGCTATGCTGATGCGCCGGTATGATTCGGAAGCATACGACATGGTGCGGTGGTGGGGGGTGTTCTGATCCACAATCCTCGGAGTTGCGCTGGCTGCCTAGACGCTTGTGTTTTTTATACTTTGGATATATTTTAGCTGTCTTCAATTTTGTTGGGAAAACTCCTTGGTTCAGGGACTTGTTGATTATGTTTGTGAGCGGGCCGGTAAGTGCTTCTTTACATTCTTTTGTAATTTTTGCTGATATTTCATCGATGCCTGAGGAAGTTTTTTGTTTTAAGGAGTCTATAGCTTTCATTACTTCTGCATGTGTTGTTGGATGAAACTGCAGGCTGTGGTCTGTTATGGGTGGTATTACTTGGGGGATGCTGTTTGGGTTTGTGTTGTTGTTGTTGGCTTCTTGGAGTGTCCTGTCTGCTACTGTGGCAAAGAAAGTGTTGAAGTGGTTTGCTACTTCATGAGGGTCACTTATTTGTTCTCCATTTATCTGAAGCATTAGCTGGTTTTCTGTGCTTCTTGCTGCTTGCCTTTCATTGTTTATTACCTGCCATAGAGCTTTTGATTTCTTTTGTGCCTGGTTGATGTGTGCTGCAGTGTTTTCTTTCTTGAGGGTTTTCAGTCTTAGGTCATATTCCATAAAAAGTGTTTAAAAAGTAACCGATAGAAGTTATTAGTTAGTTTAAAAAACAGGGTCCAAAAAAATTGGTTGTTTTTGAAAGTTCTTCATATTAAAACCATTTAATCGTTTGGCTTTCAACTTTACCAAAAGTTTTAGAATTTAATGGAGAACATAAAAATATCAACTAATGAATACCTTTTACGGGGTTTATTTTGATCAAATTCAAAAATATTGTAAGGTACCAAATATTAATTCAATTCGATGGAATAAACAAAAATGTGTATTTAGCTTATCTTGAATTATTCTCCCAAGTGGAGGTGTTTAGGGATAATCTAAGCAAAACTACGACGAAAAACAAATTTAAACTATAAAATAATCAAATGTATTTCTCATTAGTGTTTTCATGACAAGGAACAATATTGGACAATAAAACAGACAGCTGATAGTAAAAACAACATTCATATCATCTGTATGACTATTACAAATAAATAGAAAAGGCAGGCATTTTCAACACTTTCCCTTATTTGCATAGTGTTGAAGATTTTATATAGTATTGCTTTGTTTAATGCTATATAATCAAATATCTTTTTAATGTATCTTTTAATATCAGCTGCTTGATTATTTTATTATGTTGTTCTAATATGTTCACAGTTTGAAGTGTTAATGTTTTAATATCTTTCCTTTTTACAACAATTATTAATAAAGTATTTTATGTATTTTATTCCCTCATTTCATCAGGTTATGGGCCCAGAAGACGTTTTTGATAAAATTCATTTTGAATATCTATAAAACTACATTAAAATGAAGAATTCTGGACTGATTGTGTTTGGTAAGATTTCTAGGCTTATGAACAATATTTTGTTACCTAATTTC